ACTGCTATAGAGCATGAAAAACAGGAACACTTGCTTGTTGCAGTTCCAAGCCCCCAGAAAGGAAAGTCTGGGGGTGCAAGTGGAAAAAGGTTTTCATAAAAGTAATTACTGGGCTGTCTTCAGAAACTTTTCCTCTTGTCTGCTATGTTCATACTGATATTTCTGAGAAGTTTGGCTTCAGTGTAAACATTTACGGGCTAGGGCTTAATTGGATGTCCAAGCTGTAATCAGGATAGGGATAATAATCCTAATTAAGTTTAGTCTACATTTTGTATTTCTTAAGGCTTTCTTCTGAAAACACATAATTTGGGATTGATAAAATGTTATGAGAGCAAATTCCCTTCAGTGAAACATGTGAAAATGTTCTCTGCTGACAGAGTTACACCAGTGAGCTTTATGAGATGAGTTATCTGGATCAAAGGGTTATTTGAATAGTTTTCCTGTTTTGTTCATAAGCATTACAGAGCCTACTTTGAGACCTCTGTTTTAAGGAATCCTAAGAAAAAACATGTATGAAAGCTGGCAACAGCTAACAGAAGAAAAATGTAATTAATGCTGCATCCATAGCAGTGCAGCTGTGCAAAGAGGGAGGAGGTTAAATCTTCAACAGAGCAAACTTGAGCTCTGCAAGGCTGTAGAGAAGCACACTGGAAAACAGCCTCATGTCATGCTTTCAAAATTAATTTGCTCTCCCGGCATGGGGAACAAACAGCAGTGATTAACAGGTGGATTGGCTGCAAATTAAACTCATTTACTGTACATTGGAGAGAGGAACTGGAAGGATTCTTTGCAGAAGAGTTTTCTTCAGCTAAAGCACAAGACTTGTTCTGTGTTTTTCCTCTTGAAAATTGGCTTCTGTTCAAATACACTGGGACAAAAGCAAAAATGATTTATTAAGAAAAGGAAATCATTATCATTATAATTTACTGTCCTCCTGCCGGATCCATCTTAAGACAAACTGTCGACAGGAGATAATTGTTGCTTCATTAGATTGTGCTGACATAAAGTTACACAACACACAGTGAGCTTTGTACTTCTATGACTAACAGAAGCTTAAGTGCTTTAATTTTAACTTACAGCGTTAAATGCCTTACAAAGCCACATCATGCAGATTGAATACACAGGTAATATTTAAGTGTGTTGAGCTTAAGAACAACTGAGTCAAATTCAAGAAAGCCGAGAACTCCAATAGTTAATCCAGAGAACAGCTTCTTACACGTAGATGAGTATTGTGCTAGGAACTGCTCCTGTGTCCCTGTGCACTGTGGATATAAGCGAATGCTGAGGGTGTGCCCATGCCTCCTGTGACAGCCCTGTGCTCGCTGATGATAAGTTTCATGCCCAGCTCCATGCAGCCTATCCAGTGCCTCCTCCGCCGTCTGCCCCTGGGTGCTTCAAAGAACAGAAACATGTTTTGTGCTGCGCATAAGCTGAAAACCAGTTGGTCTTCATTTCCTCAGTCCTCTGTCTGGCTGTGAATCCTAGAATCACAGAATGGCTTGGGTTGTAATGGATCTTCAAGATCCTCTAGTTCCAACACCCTGATGTGTGCACGGTTGCTAACCACTAGAACCACAATGAAACACGATTGCCATTGTGCTGCTCAGGATTAACTCGCTTGCTCTTTGTGTTATTTGTTATGTAAGAAGAGTTTGCCAGCTATTGACAGAAACTACGAGCAAAGCTGCCAAGCGCTGCAGTAATGCAAATAAATAACAAAAATGAGAGAGATGCAGGCAGGTGAAGCCCCAGGGACTGAGAGCGGCTGCAGAAAGGGAGAGATACAGGCAAATAAGTGAAGAGATGTGAGGGGCTCAGTCAGGCTCTGCCCTGTGGACACTAGTATGAAAATTCAGTGCTGAAAGTCTACCAGTTTGGCCAGATCCTATCCCCTAATTGTTTTTTGCTCAACTGCAGCTGCTTGCATGTGTTTGAGACATAGATCAAGGCTACAGCATTAGCCACAGAAACATGCCTCTGGCTTTTTTGCGTTTCTTAAAATGGTTGAGCAGCAATCCTTAGGTTAAAGGTGAGAGAACACTGAGACTGCTGAGCTATTCATATTACATTTAACCATTTCACCTGTTTAAAAGTAGACCTTGGCTTTCCAAGGAGTATCGCAGCCTCATCTGACCTTGATATCAGATATATCTGAGCTTGTTCTTTCCACATGGGCCTCTCTTCCCTCCCTCTGCATCTGTGTTCCCAGGAGCACAGTGGTTCTTTTCTTGTGGTCTCTGGAAGATGCCTCTGGCTAGAGCTAGTTGGACAGGTAAGTGCTGCTGGTTGCTGACTTCTTCTGTAGCCCGTGTTTTTCTCTGCTGTTGGGTAATGAAGATCTTCCATCCGTTTTGTTTAAGCAGCAGGAATCATTCCTGCTGCCTGTGATCATCTCTTCTGTAGTGACTTGCAAGCAGCAGGCAGTCTTGACCTTTTTACTTGAGATCCCTATGGAGAGAGCCATGTCTGAAGTCTGCACAGCTCCATCACTGTGTTCTGCAGGGTAGGGCTGAGCACAAGATGAGTCTGCGCCTCTCCACATAATGCTAGTTAGCGTGAAACCCAAGGAGTGCCATCTCTGCTTCTGCGCGTGTTGAACTGCCTTAATTAGGTAATCTTTATTAACTTTTCCTAACAAGTAGGAACCAGATACGACTGAAGTTAGGAATGATGGTAAACATTAGCGAGAGATATAGGAGGCATGTTCTGAGAAGCCTCGAGTCTGCACTGGGATGGAATAGAAGGTAGGCTCAGTGGTGAAGATGTTATTTCTTTTCTTGTATTATGGTAGTATGGGAGTCAGAGGGGGAAAGAGAATCTGTCCATGGTCATGGCTGATAGTTTTGGAGTTTTCTCCAAATCGTCTCCTTAACTGAGGAAATAACTGTAAGTTATCCAGCCAGCAGAGTACTGATGAATATGGAGAGATGCTGCAGTCTTTTAGAGGTGGCCGAGTGGCTTTTCAGCTCGAGGGTCTGTGCCATGCAACAGCAGTTTTCAGGAGATGTTTAGTACTCTGGCTTTGGCTAAAAGAGTTGGATGTGACTTCTTAGACCTACTTGTGCCTAAGCCATATGGAGTGAAACACAGCCCTCTGGGTTTGTTACTGATAGGGCGGTAGGCTTTAAAAACTAACTTGCAGCAGCAGCTACTTTGGCATTTCGTGCCTGGTTTCTTAATTCAGGGCTGGCGATTTTTAAGTACCAAAGGGTTTGTGATCTTTAGAAAAAATGGCAGCTGGACCAAACTCATGTACAGTTAGAGAAATGCAATGTTTAGTGCTGCTGGTTAATACTGAACAGGAAGATAGTGATGAATAGAGGAGAGGAACTGCTGGTGTTTAGTCTGAAACTAGCTGCTGGGCTCAGCAGGATGAAAGCACATCTTATCCAGGCCTGTTCAAGATAAAGCAGTACTTTATGCTTAGTGTAGTTTGGCCAATTGGGCTGGAATCACTGCACAAAATTTGTCATTGCTTCTTAAATGTAAACAGTGACTATAAGTTCTCTCAGACAGAACAGATACCTTTCACTAGTGGATTTTGCTGCCCTAAATTATGGCATTAAGTTCATTCATGCCCATGGTGTAACCATTAGAAAAATGCTGGAGGAAGGACAATCTTTTGTGAAATACCTGGCATTTATAGATATTAGACAGCTGTAAGGAAATCTGATGCACTGCAGAATAGACTATTGTAGCTTGAATTTGTTGAACTGAAGATGGGAACAAATCTTAACAGGTGTTCTTGGTAATAAATGTAGTAGAGAGAAAAACATAAGGCTTTTCTATTTGATAACCTAGTAGAAATTTTGAGATTAAATTTATGGATGAACTAGTGCCATAAATAAAAAGCACAACTTTCAGCCAACTTCAAGAACAATACTATTATCAGCTGTCTTCTTCAGCATGCCTGGCTAAATAAAGGGCTTTATTGAGGACAGGAGAAATAAAGTGGGTAATACTTACAGGATGTGGAAGGCTGTGTTCACTTTCTGAATAAATGGGCTGCCTTTAAGAGAAAACTGTTTCGTATAATTCTTCCTGCTCTTCGAAGTAAAATTTTAAAGAAAATAATAGAAAGCTAATACAGATGCCTATGAGCTGTCTTGACAAGTATCTACGTACCTTGCTGGATGGAGATGTTTTTCACTCACTGTGATTTTTAGGAGAGGTTGTATGACAGCATTATAGCTTCCAGCACTGCAGGCATTTTGATTAAATCTCTCAGCTTTGTACAAAGGCACATCACGTGCGTAGGGGCTCTAATATGTTATTTTCATCTCCTCAGTGAAACTCTTCACTGCTTCGATAACTTTGGTCCTCAGCAGAGAGAAAGCCATCAGTAACAGCGTTCCTTCTTCAGAGGATGCCACTGTTACCTATGCACTGGGAGGGGAGACACAAGTCCTCTTGTTTGTGGCTGACTCCACAATCTCTTCATTGCAAAAGAAGCTTATTGAATGTGCTGTGTGATTTTTCTACTATGTCTGAGTGTGGATAAATAACCAGTGCTCTATTGTTGAATTGAAAGATTGTTCTTTCCAGGTTAAGAAAACAGATGTAGGGAAAATCCAGAGGAAAAGAAAAAAATACGAATGAAAGTGGAATGAAGGCTAGCTAAATACAAATGTTAACTAGATGCAAACAACTGTAAGTATTTGAAAAGTGTTAAGTACAAAGAGTAGATGAGATGTCCGAACATTTGGCAAACTGTAAATGCAGCAGGTAAGTGCAGGAGGAATGCAGAGAATAAAACTAAGAAGAAGGCCAGATGAAATAACCCTTTCACAATTAAAAAACTGCGGGATAGCCCCTGGTTGAGATAAAAGTCTACACAGTAAGGAACGAACAGTAAATGAAGGATGGATGAGACAGAGCTGTCTGTTTCAGTTCTGACACTTAAAGTCAGCAGCATCCATTCTAACTGTTACTAAATGTTTCATTCGCTGTGCAACTTATGAATTATTAAACTTGTCTTTTCTTTCTCTTCTTATTTCTAGGCCTCTTCCTTATCTTAGGCTTGATACTTTACCCTGCAGGTTGGGGATGCCAGAAAGCAATAAGCTATTGTGGACATTATGCTTCTGCTTACAAACTGGGAGACTGCTCCTTGGGCTGGGCTTTCTACACGGCGATTGGTGGCACTATTCTGACGTTCATCTGTGCAGTCTTCTCGGCGCAAGCTGAAATCGCCACATCCAGTGACAAAGTGCAAGAAGAAATAGAGGAAGGAAAAAACCTTATCTGCCTCCTTTAACTCCAGTGGGAAAAAATACCAGTGCCTGGATATTAATTTGCTATTCACTGACTTGATGAGGAGATCCACTTACCAGTTTCCACAGTTTGTGTGATTGAGCCCCATGCATTCCAGCCCTGAACTACTGAAATGGTCTTTCCTCCTTGTTGGGCAATGAGGATCAGAAAAGATCCCAAGAAAGGAGAATGTAAACACTTGGGGATTTTTTAGTTTGATTACATTATCAGGACACTGTGGAGTATATTAATCAGATTGGGGATGCGAGGAATCATATATATAGTGGGGATATTATTACATAGCTGACAAATTCTGATTGATTGGATTGCCTTACCCACCTTGGTCACTTTAAAAAAATTGGATTTAAAATAATAAAAGCCAGCACATTTTTACTTTTTTTTTTACACAACCAAGCAGCCTATTTTCATTAGGCTTTCTTTCCAAGGGCTCCCCTCACCTGTCAATCTTTCACCACCACCTGGTTTGGTACCGTATTTTTAATTGAGGTGCTTCTTCATACTGAACGTCCTTAAAGTGCAGTGCCTTCTCAGAGAGTTAAGTACACAATGGAGAGATCAAAGCTGACAGGATGCAGTTCACACATCTTTAAACAGTTAAAGCTGAATCCTTACCGCATCTCCTGCTTGAAACTTCACAACACAAGGTGCGTGCCCCTTGTCTAGCAGGTTAATTATTTTGTTTTCACTGACCCAGTAGAGATGCTGTTGTTAACACTGGTTTTCACTTGAATCTGATGCAACTGTTAGAAATACCGTTTTACCGTATGTTGAAGCAGCAACTCTGCCTTTATCTGAAATACCCCAAATCCCAAGCAGAAACTACCCAGAGCACAGCTGGGCATTACTTTGTGAATGCCAACAGCTGGAGCTTTAGCCTCTTGTACAAGTGAACATCAAATGCTGGACTTCAGTGGTATTATTCTACCTTTTGCCTGTGAAACTTCATTCCTACTCTGCAGACCAATTTCATGTCCCAGAACCAGCTACGTCCTTAAGAAATTTACATTTTTCAGGAAGTCATGCCAAATTCTTAATGGCTGTGAAGATCTTTTCCCATTTTTTGAACCACATGTAGCATGGAACCTTTTCCAACTAAATCAGCAGAAATAACAGACCCTGCCGCAAATGACATTCCTTTCTCAAAAACAGTCGGCTGCATTACTTGTGGTGTCCCATCACTTACTAGAACTACTTGTAAAAACAAATCTAAAAGGTATTAAAAAAAAAAAAAAAAAGGAATGATGCAACTGTGGCACAGAAGCACTAGGAAGAATTCATCAGAGAAGTAATTCTCGTGAACTTTAAGTGAATTCCTCTTATTTCATGGTGCATGTTTCACATCATACATTGCTTTCTTTCACTGGAGCCTGGTCAGTCTATCACAGTGTGCCGTTAGCTATTTATAGATACTAAAAATTGTTACTGTACAGGTAGAAGACTGATTTCAATACGCTGCTCCTCTCTGGGTGATTCACAGGACTTGTAAAAGCAGCCACTAGCACAAGCCCAGGGCTAGCCTTGAGCATGGCTGAGCAGTGGTGCTGGAGCACCCTCAGTGCCTGCTGTGCCCCACAGACCCTGCCTGAGCCCAGCCCACCTGTGTAGGCAGCAGTGCCCATCAGCACACAGCACGTGTTCAAGAAAGGTGCCGGACAGATGTAGAGCTGATGGCTGAGCCACTGTTCAAAAACCAGGATCAACTTCTGCCAATATTAAAAAGGGATTTAATTTAATTTAGCAGCTTCTTGCGTTCACCTGTTTCTCTAGCCCACCACAGTGTAGATTTTAAAACGGGTAATTAACTTTTCTTTAAAATGTTTAATATTAAAAACGGTCTGGAACCACTTATGCCAATTATCTGCATATAGCAAAATTTGTTTTTAAAAAACTTTCGGAATAAAGCGGCGTTTGAGGACAAAAAGTCGCAGCCAGCATGTCTTGACCACACTCGTGGTCTCCCATTTTTTGCTGGACACATTCGCACACACACACGCCGAAGGACGTGCATGCTACCTGTTTAGCACAGCTGCACTGTGACTGAAATCCTATGGTGCTCCTCTTGAGCCCTCTACTGGAGTGTGTGCTAGAGGAGGCTGGGGCATTAGCCCAGCTGTGCTTTTGTCAACAGCATAATTGGAAAGGAAGGGTTGGAGAATAAGAATGACTATAAATAGGCTCAATATTAATTAAAAAAAAATTCAGCGTTTTTATCAGTCGGATTTGGAGTTTTACCTTTTTGTAAGTGGGTAGCAATCCAATGTGAATGCTGCCACTGCCAGGACTTTCTGTAACTACGTTACTGAAGTAAATGCTGCTGCGGCTTGAGCACCTGATTAGCCAGAGCCAAAGTCAGTACTTCCAAAAGGTATGGAGGGCACGTGCTGCTTAGGTTTAGAAGTAAGCAGTGAACAACCCCAGTATACACTGCTATGATCTAAAGCATGCTTAAAATTTTTAATATTGGGTTTTTTGTCTTTGTAATACTAGGCAAGTATTTTCAGTGGCGTGTTTTGCTTTTGTTTTCATTTGTAACCAACAAGAGCCAGCTTTTCTGCTTGTTGCTGATATGCTATCAACCTGCTCTGCAACGGCATAATCAACTAACTTGCAAGAATATCCACGTTCATCACACAGCACGCAGTCAGATGGAAGACGGGCTGGGAAGAAACACAGAAAAACAATAATCAGAATTTCCTTTCTCAGGGTTCTGTTTTTCTATCAAGTGATAAGGCGTTACGTACTGCCGCTTTTTTTTTCTGGATGAAGTTTTCAGATGTAGGGTGCTCTCGTTAAATCTGTTTAAAGCTGTTTAAAGTTGTTCCTGACTGTCACCTCAACAGCAGCTTTCAAAGATGTTTAGAAAAAAGAAGAAAGAAATCAGATTAAAACTAATTTAATTAATTTCACAAGGGGGGCTGCAGAGCGTAACTGCTTCTTAATGTACATGCACTGCATAGGATCTAGAAGACTTTGCTGTGGATTCTTTAAAACCTGTGTGCCAATTAGCTCAGTTCAACTTTGTTTTTGTGGTATTGAAGAATTCTTCAAGCATCTGTGGTTTGATCAACTTTGTAAACTTATATTCTGTAAAGTGCCATAGACTTTTTTTAATTGTAGCATATTTAAATATATATATATATATATATATATACACAAATTTGTGTGAGATGTGCAATAACAGGAATGTCT